CTGCTGTACTGGCAGCCGTCAGCCTGGCTTGTGGCTGAGCAGAGCTCCCCCATGTGAGAGCGCACTGACCACCAGGGGGCAGCTCCTGCATTGAGCATCTGCCCCCTGGTGGTCAGTGTGTGTCATAGTGACCAGTCATTCCCAGTCGTTCTGCTGTTAGGATCAATTTGCATATTAGCCTTTTACTATATAGGATAGAGGCCTGGTGCATGAGTGGGGGCCGGCTGGTTTGCCCTGAAGGGTGTCCTGGATCAGGGTGGGGGTCCCGCTTGGGTGCCTGGCCAGCCTGGGTGAGGGGCTGAGGGCTGTTTTCAGGCTGGCCACACCCCCTTCAGGGTGGAGGGTCCTGCTGGGGTCCCTAGCCAGTGTTGGTGAGGGGCTGATGGCTGTTTGCAGGCTGGACAAGCCCCCCAGCAGGGACCCTCACCCCATGAGGGTGTGGCCATCCTGGGTAAGGGGCTGATGGCTGTTTGCAGGCTGGCCACGGCCCCCAGCCACCCAAGCTCCCAGTGGAGGCTGGCTGGAAGCAGGTATCTGGGATTTATTTAGTTTCTATAATTGAAACTTTGTTGCCTTTTGCGGAGGCCACAGCCAGCCAGAGCAGGCGGGAAGCTTGGCTTCCTCCATCGCCAGGGCAACCAAGCCTCCTGCTTGCTCCAGCTCTGTGGCTGCCGGCCGCCATCTTGGTTGGGTTAATTTGCATATAATCACTCTGACTGGCTGGTGGGCGTGACTTGGGCATAGCAAAGGTACGGTCAATTAGCATCTTTGTCTTTTATTAGTGTAGATACTCTTTCCTTTACATAATCTCCAACATATCAGTGTGGCTCTTTAGGCTAAGACATACATGTGCACACATAACAAATGCTTAATAAATGTATTCAAATCACATTATAGATTCTAGAATATAAGAAAAAGACTGCCTAGTCCAAAAATTTGGTTAAAATATGAATATATAATTGAAGAGGAATACAAGGAATCCCTCAGAAAAGGACACAGAAGTTCACCCCTCCACCGCCTGCCTCTGGTTCTCTCTCTCAGGGAAGGGAAAGCTCTAGTCTGATCAATTTCTACAACGACTGGGCCAGACAGTGATAGATCACATGACCTCAGAGGTCCCACCATCTCTTCTCTCACTCTCCAAATGCTAACCATAGCTTTGAGTTACTGTAGCCAGAAATCTATATATATAAAGCCAGTGACCAGAACACCATAATGACCAGAATGACTGGTCGCTATGACGCCCAATGTGGCCAGCGAACCAGTCCAATTGGGGGGCGGGGCACCTCCCCCCAGCCGGCCCCACCCCGGATCAGCCTCTCTCACCCTGATCGAGGGCAAGGCGGCCAGACAACCCCCCTGCGACCCTTCCCCCCTGATCGAGGGCGGGGTGGCCAGCCAAACCCCCCACGGCCCTTCCCCCTGGCCGGCCCCACTGCCCATCGGCCTGCAGCCCCACTCCTGATTAAACCCACATCCCATTATGGGGTGGGGCCAGTGGCCAACCTCCTTCAGCCCTTCTCCCCAGCCTGCCACACCCCCAAAAGGTCCCCACCACCCCATCGGCCTGCAGCCCCTCCCCTTGGCACTGTCCCTGATTGTCCCCCCATACCAATAGGGAGTGGGGTTGGCTGGCCACCCTCCTGCAGCCTCTCCCCCTGTCCAACACCACCCCAGATCGGCCCCTCCATCCCAATCAGGGGCAGGGCCAGTCATCCAACTGCCTGCGTCCCCTCACCCTGGCCAGCCCCAGCCCTGATGGGCCCCCACCACCCTGATCGGCCCATGGCCCCTCCCCCCAGCTGGCCCGGCCCTGATCAGGCCCCAATCAGGGTGGGCCAGCCAGACAACCCCCCACCATCTCCTCCTCCTGACAGGCCAGGCCCTGATCTGCCCCAATTGGGGCTGGGCCATCCGGACCCCACCCATGCACGAATTTGTGCACTGGGCCTCTAGTATAAGATAATAGGCTGCCATTTTTTGCAAATTGCCATTTTTAGCATATTTCTTCCATACTCATACATGCGCCAAATAGAGGAGCAAGTCATTATTTCCTACCTTTCTTTTATGATGGGTTGCAGAAGCATCCATCTCCTCCTCCCCTATATTATCAATTTGTGAGGTTGGACTGCAACAACTCATCCTCTCCTCCTCTTGCCTCTGGAGTCTGTCTGCTACGGCCTGAATAGCTTCCGTCCATTCTTCCCTATAGATCAAGTGCAAATTCTCATTAACAGAGGATGGTAACCAATTCGAATATTTCCTTTTTATATGAAATATATACAAATAAAGTCTCCATGATAACACACACTAATTTGTGAGGTTGGACTGCAACAACTCATCCTCTCCTCCTCTTGCCTCTGGAGTCTGTCTGCTACGGCCTGAATAGCTTCCGTCCATTCTTCCCTATAGATCAAGTGCAAATTCTCATTAACAGAGGATGGTAACCAATTCGAATATTTCCTTTTTATATGAAATATATACAAATAAAGTCTCCACGATAACACACACACACACATGCATGCAAGCACGCATGCGCGCACACACACACACACACGCTCATGAACACATTCTCCCACGCTTACTTCACATACACACACACACGCACACACACACACACACACAGGCTCATGAACACATTCTCCCACGCTTACTCCAGTGTGGAATTAATCCCAAGAAATTAATTACAGCATAATGTTTGTAGTAGCATTTATTTGGAGGTATGTTAAGAAAAAGAAGAAAAGGATTATAAGAAAATTCAGTTAAAAGTACTTTAAAAGTACAGTTACATTTTAATTGTCCGTACACATCTTACTTACAAAGTAAAACTGACCCCCAAAAGTTTGTTGCACTTATTGTTTTGTTTAGCTACTGTAGTCATCATTGACATACTCAAGATCTTCACTGTAGTCCAACAAAAGTTCTAAGAAAAGGTTTTCAAAGCCAAAACCTTTCACTGTTCCCAGATCATAGGCAAATTTCTTTTTTTTTTTAAATGGCAGGCATAAATTGTAGCTTAATTAATAAGTCTCTTGAGCACTAATATAAAGCTTTTAGTTTTTGACAGTTGTCTCATCAGATCAAGGATCATTTATTTCCATATAAGTTTTAAAATCAACTTATAGATTTCTTAAAGTCCATTAGAATTTTCGATGGAATTGCATTAAATCTATAGATCAGTTTGGAAGGAATTGCCATTTTAATAAATTAAGCCTTCCAATCCATGAATATGGTATAGCTCTGCATTTATGTAGGTCTTTAACTTCCCAGAGCAATGTTTTGGAATTTTCTGTGAAAAGGTCTTGCATATCTTCAATTGACTTTATATCTAAGTATTCTTTATTGTCCAGGGTTTTGTCAATTTAATTTTTTTGCTAGTATTTAGAAATACAGTTGTTTATTGTACATTGAGTTTTAACCTCCAGACTTACTAAATTCATTTCTTACCTCCAGTAGCTCTTATTTTTCTGGATTTTGTAAACATGTAACCATGTTGTCTACATGTACGGGCAGTTTTACATGTGTTTGTCTTTTTCCTAATGTGTTTGCCTTTTTTTTCTTTTTCTTGCCTTATAATACAGAAGATCAGACCATCAATACAATGTAAAATAAAAGTGGTGCAAGCAGACATTTTACTTTATTCCAGGTGTTAAAGAGAAAGCATTGAGCCTTAACCTTTGAGTATTGCATAAGCTGTAGGATATTTTTTTGGTAAATACCCTTAAGTTGAATAAGTTCCCTTCTCTTTCTATTCAACAGGGTTTTTGTTACAAAGGGATGTTGACTTTTGTGAAATATTTTTTCTGCATCTGTTGAAATAATCATGTAGTTTTTCTCCTTTATCCTATTAACGTAATAAGTTTAGTTGGATTATTTTCAGACTAGAGGCCCGGTGCACAAAATTCATTCATGGGTAGGGTCCCTACGCCTGGCTGGTGATCAGAGCCGATCGGGGACTTCCGGCTGCTGGCCAGGGCCTCCTCCCTCGGTGCTGGCTACCAGCCAGCACCTTCCTTCATTCTGCGCCGCCCCCTGGTGGTCAGCACACATCATAGCGAGTGATAGAACTCCTGGTCTCCCGGTCAAACTCCCGTGGGGGACACTTCGCATATTAGCCTTTTATATATATAGATGCTAATGCAACTGAATTCTTGGGATAAACTCCATTTGGTCATGGTGTATTATCCTTTATATATATATTTTGTAATTCTATTTGTCAAAATTTTGTTAATAAATTTGGCACCAGCCCTAGCTGGTTTGGCTCAGTGGATGGAGCCTGTGGACTGAAGGGTCCTGGGTTCAATTCAGGTTGCAGGCTCGACCCTTGGTCATGGGTGTGCAAGAGGCGGCCAATCAATGATTCGCTCTCATCATTGATGTTTCTATCGCTCTTTCCCCTCTCCCTTCCTTTCTGAAATCAATAAAAATATATTTAAAAAAAAGAAATTTGGCACCTATATTTACAAGTATATTGGGCGTATAGGTCTCTCTTCTTATGATAGTTTTGCCTGTTTTCTTTTTTGTTTTTTTGTTTTTTTAAATGAGGGTGACCGTTGCTTTATAAAATGAGTTAGGAAGTGTTCTCTTCTCCATTATTTTCTGAAATAGATTTTGTAGGATTGGTAATATCTCTTTAAATGTTTAACCAATGAAGCCACCTGGACTTGGAGTTTTCTTTGAAAAAAAATGTTTTGCTTAATAATTTAACTTTGTTCATTAATACTGGATTGTTCAAGTTTTCTAGGGTTAGTATTGGTAACTTCTGCCTTCTTTTTTTAAATTTTCCTTAAAAACCTTTCAAGACATTTCCATTGTATTAATTTTGTTTCAAAGAACTAGCTTTGTTTAATTGATTATTCTCTACAATTTTTCTGTTTTCAAGCCCCCTGATTTCTCTATTGTTTCCTTCTTTCTGTTTGTCTCGGGTTTAATTTACTCTATTTTTCTAGTTTCTCAAGATGGAAGCGTAGATTACTGACTTGAGAACTTCCTTCTTTCCAAATATGGGAATTTATAAATTCCCTCTAAGCACTCATTTCACCACATACCACAAGTTCTAACATGCTTTATTTTCACTATCATTTGTTTAAAACTATTTTCTAATGGCTCTTGTGAATTTTGTGTTTGACCCAATGATTATTAAGAGGTGTCTTATTTGATTTCCAAATACTGGGGTTTTTCTTATTATCTTGTTGATTTCTAATCAATTCTACTGAGGGCAGAGACCATATTTTGTATAATTTCAATATTTCTAAATATATTAAGAATTGTTTATGATCCAGAATATGATCTTCTGGTGAATGTATCAAGTACATTTGAAAACAATATGTATTTTGCCACATAGATATCAATTATATCAAGTTGATTGATAGTGCTATTCTATTTCTATGTCTTTGTTGATTTTTTTTTGTCTAGCTTCTCTATCAACTGCTGAAAAGAATTTTAAAGTCTCAAAATATGGTCCTGGGACTGTCTATTCTCTTTTAATTCTGTTACTGCATGCATATATATTCATAATTGTTATATCGTAGAGTTCAACTGATGCTTTTAACATTCTAAAGTGTCCTGGTACTCTCAGGTGATCCATCTTATTTTGTAATTTCATATAATATAGCAAATCTATTTCTTATATTTACTGTTTGCAGATCTTTTTTTCAATCTACCTGTGTCTTAAAGTTCATCTCTTAAAGACAATACATAAGTGGGCCTTGTATTTTCATCAATTCTGAAACTCTCTGCCTCTTACTTGCAATGTTTAATCCATTAATATTTAATGCAATTATTTATAGGGTTGCACCTGAGTCTACCATTTGTAGAAAATACCAAGTGTCAGCAAGAATGTGGAGAAACTGCAACTCCTATACACTGCTGTGAGAATGTCAAATGTTGCAGCCACTATGGAAAACACTGTGGAGGTTCCTCAAAGAAATAAAAGTAGAACTACCTTAAGATCCAGCAATCCCACTTCTGGGCATTTGGCCAAAATAAAATGAAATCAGCATCTTGAAGAGGTATTTGTACTCCTATGCTCACTGCAGCATTATTAAAAATAGCCAAAACATGGAACAACCCTAGATGTCCATTGAAAGATGAATGGATAAAGAAAATATGGGATAAGCATAGGATGGGATATTATTATGTGCTACAACATGAATGAACCATGAGGGCATTATTCCAAGTGAAATAAGCCAGTCACAGAAGGATAAATATTGTATATGGTTTCATTTATATGAGACATCTAAGGTAGTCAAATTCATAGAAGCAGAAAGAAGAATGAAGTTTGATATGAGCCAGGAGAGGGGGAAATGGGGAGTTGCCATTCAATGGGCATGGAGTTTCGGTCATGCAAGATGAAAAATTCTCGAGATCTACTGCAAAGTATTGTCCGTAGAGTTAATAATACTGTACACTTACAATTTGGTAAATTTCATGCTATGTGTTTTTAATCACAATTTAAAAAATGTGCTAGAAAAGCTAAGAACATTTTGAAAAAATAGCAATAATAAAAGGCTTGCTTTATTGAAAGCTAAAAGTTTGATAAGGCTTCTCTAATTAAAACCATGTGGTCCTAGTGCTAGAATAACAGAAATATCAAAGGGGAGGGGAGGAGAAAAATACTAAAAATACAAGTATTCAGGCATAATCAGTTAGAAGAGAATGGATTATTCAATAAATGGAGGTAAGACAAGAAGCTCTTCTTTTGGAAAAATAGATTCCAAACTTCTATGATTAATGAAATAAATATAAGATTTTAAAAGATAGATTAGAGATATTTAGTTTGCAACAGGTAAGTATTTTAGACTGGAAGACAGAGTAGAGAAGATAGAGAGTTTTTCTAGATCTTAATACATCTAAGTCTTCATTAATATTAAAGTCATATGAAATATCCAAACACCAGATTCTAGGTAAATTCAGGAAACAAACTCTAATGCAAATACAAATATGCTGTTTTTCATAAAACTGCTTTCTTCTAGTCATAAATGCAAATGAAAACTGATTATACAGAAAAGTAGTATGATAATATTGCAGGAACAGCAAACTAGTTCAGTCTTAAGATATGACTTAAGTCCAGCTTTGCGAACACAAAGGCAAAATGAATCAAGTTAGATGGGATGTTATAAATCCATGAAGACCAATATTTTCAAAGAATATATATTGCCATGGGAAAAATCCCATTCATTCAACAAGTCAATAAACACTGTATCGGCCCCTGGACTGTACGCTAAAAATAAAATGATGATCAAGGAAGACATCATCCTTGCCAATCAAGAATCTTATAGTCTACTGAACAAGGCAGGCAAAGATTATAGTAGTGGTATACCAGATGCAAAAGGTCCAAGGAGATAGGGAAGTATATAGCAGCGGGACCTACCTAGTCTACCAGTGTCAGAGGTTTTGTAGGAAATGTAACATTTTAAGCTCAGATCTGATTTCATAGGAATTACATAGGAATGAGCTCAACCATAGTTATGGGCTAGCAGTGGTCGGCAAACTCATTAGTCAACAGAGCCAAATATCAACAGTACAACGATTGAAATTTCTTTTGAGAGCCAAATTTTTTTAAACTTAAACTATATAGGTAGGTACATTGTTATTAACTTAATTAGGGTACTCCTAAGGCTTAGGAAGAGCCACACTCAAGGGGCCAAAGAGCCGCATGTGGCTCGCGAGCTGCAGTTTGCCGACCACGGGGCTAAGGTATAAGCAAACGGAAGACTCAGCATAGATAAATGCCCAGGGCAGATGGGGGTGGCTTTGGAGGGAGGACACACAAAATTGTATGTGTACTGAAGGCCTAAATACATCTCACAGAATAAGACTGGAAGTGTATAAAAAAAAAGCATCAGTCCTTAACTCTGGTTATAGAATCAGATTATGAGTAATTTCTAGATCTTTCCCATTTTTCTTTCTTGTCTATGTTTTCTGCAGCAATATACATTACCATTTTTGTTTATTGGTCAAAAAAGTATTATTAAAATAATACTTCACTATTTACTAGATTTTAGGGGGAGGTTCTGAGGTTTTTTTTAATCACACAAGTTTCTTAAGAACTAATTTATTCATTTGGAAAATAAGCTAAAAAGATTCAACTTCACAGAGTTGCTGATTTGAGTCAAATATGGTAACATAGGCGCAGGAAAATGAATTTGTGCTGGTGGTTGTTGGACCTAAGTCAGTATCAGAGCCACCAGATGAAAGGGAGGGGACTCCAGGAATTATCGGATCAGGAGGATGAAAATGGGGCCCTGAGGACGCTGGGAGCTGGTTGGAAATGTGTTACTCTCCCCCCTTCAGCAACGATGACGGCCAATGCCAGTCAGTCCTGGTCCTTTCTTCCTCACTGAGCTGAGACCCCATCTCAGCATCCTCCTCCCGATACTCCAGGCGGCCACCTGACGGATGGCATGCTACCTGACACCTTTGCCACCTCTGGCCTCAGAATTCTAAACATAAACACAATCCTACAATTCTTTTAAAAGACGTAGCTTGGTTATTAAAAAATGTCTTAATTTATGTTTTAGCTTTTTAATGTTTTTTTTTTAAGAAGTATATCTACCAGAACTTCCAGATATTTTGATTTAGAATGTTATAAGTTACTCATCTCTTATATCAGAATAATAATAATACTTAAGGGACTACAGCATTTTACAAAGGTATTTACATATATTTACAAATGGTGAGGTCAGACACACGGGTTTTTAGATTGACCGTTGCTTTTTCAGAAAATGGGAGAAAAAAATGACTCTCTTACCTTTCCTCTGGAGTATCTACATGAAATGTTCTCTCTATAACAGTGGTCCACTGGAGACATCTGATAATAAATGTGTTTGGCTTTGGTCGTTCTGTTTTCATTAACTGGCATTCTAGTGATAAAATAAAATGTCTCTTTGAATATACTTACATTTAAACCAAGAAACAAGCAGTTGCAAACTATAGAGTTCTATTCTACACAAAGCCACTGAGATCTCTCAGCATTCCAGGGACTACACGGCTTTCCCCCGATACATCCTGCTGCTCTTCCCTGTATCGATACCTTTGCTGTCCATTCATTTGACCCCGATCCATACATGACCACCAGCTGTCAAAAGGACACCTGTCCTCTAAGGTGAAGATCAAAGCCAACTTCTTCCATGAGGCCTTCTATGGAAGACTGACCATTCCTGAATCCCCCCCATATTCTCAGAACTTACTACTGTCTGCCTCATTCTCCACTCAGCGTAGACTACCTTATAGTATTATTATTTTAAGGTGAGGCCTTCTATGGAAGACTGACCATTCCTGAATCCCCATCTCCCCATATTCTCAGAACTTACTATTGTCTGCCTCATTCTTCACTCAGCTTAGACTACCTTATATTATTATTATTTTAAGGCATCCTTATCTCTCTACCTAGATTATAAGCCTTTTGATAGTACATCCCACCTGTAGCTTTTTAAATATGTTTTTATTGATTTCAGAGAAAAAGGGAGAGGGAGAGAAAGAGATAGAAACATCAATGATGCGAGAGAATCATCAATCAGCTGCCTCCTGCATGTCACCGAGTGGGGACCGAGCCTACAACCCAGTCATGTGCCCTGATGGGGAATCAAACCATGATCTCCTGGTAGATGGGTCGATGCTCAACCACTGAGTTACACCGGCCACGCCACCTATAACTCTTATTAATCACAGCCCGTAGAGCCAGTCAGTCACCAAGCGATCAATTCTGTCAAGGAATATCTAGGAAGACTTCAAAGAAAAGGACAATAGTGCAGTGGCTAAAATATGGGTTCTAAACCCAGTGTGTCTGGATTCAGTATTTTTCCTACCATGAACAATGAACCTTGCAAGTGAATTAAGGCCTTTGCTCTTCAAACATTACTTAAGAAACAACAAGAGTACCTGTAACATACAACTAGTATGTGGAGAAATAATAAATCGATGTAATCCTCAGCATTGTGTGTGACACATAAGGTTTCAATCATGCTAGCTGTTAGCTTTAAGGACTGGATACGCGGTATCAGACAACCACAGGAAGTACAGTTGGCTTGCGTAACGATACTGCTCTTTTGAAAGAAATTGACCCCTGGTTGAAAAGTTCAACAGTGTCTTGTCCGTGCTTATCCTTTTGGTCCTATCTCCATTATTAGCAACTATCAACTGCCATTCCTACGTCTTTATGGGACCAAGTCATCAATCATATCGAACCACTCTTTTTATATAACGAAAAAAATCACATTCTAAATCAATACGTTAAAATACAAAAATGACACTAAAATGAAACAGGAAAAGTGGTCTCGGGTTGGGATTTTTGGAACTATCTGTGCCTTTCTCTCCGGAAGTGTCTGGCTTTGTTCAGATCTGGGAGCATCGTCTCCGCCCGGAGAATGGTCTCGGAGAGCATCCCTCATCTGGTAGCGAGTCAGCGCCGAGAGAAGAAAATAATCTCCCACCACATCCAGGGCTCTCTGCCCTTCGTGCACAGCGGTAACTCAAGAGCTGGATCTGAAGCCACAAAAACTAACACTTCAAAAAACCATGTTAAAACAAGTGAGCCAGTCAACAGAAGAAGTTCTGGGTTCTTCTGTGTTAGCTACAATATGGGCTCAGGAACACACCCCACAGCTCTCTGTAAAATGAAGGCAAACCTGCCATGCTCATGTCTAAACAATCTTATTCTTAAAGGGGACTCCTGTTCTTAAAGGGAATTCTTAAAGGGGATGGTGGTGAATAAACAGTCAATACTTCTTCAGAAGAATATTTTCAATTTAGTCATGTAAAGATTTCCAGTTCAACCTCGGCCGATTTAAAAACAAAAGTAGAAACTTCGGCTAGAGATTCTGAAAAGCTATTAATCAAATGATCATCCATGATATCTCAAACCATTTAATACACACGAATGAAGCAAGTGTCTTACATAAAATGCCAGGGAGCTAACTTTTATTGTATCATAATCTGTGAATACTTTTCAGTAAAGTATTTGTCACACCAGAATTTAAATTAGCTATACTAGTTAAAAATCACCCGAACAAATGAAACTACAAACTAACTTTCAACATCCTGCTGACTTTACACCATTCTGAACCATGGACCACCAGCTTTATTCAAAGCTGTGATTTGTCTGTAAACCTGAGAGCCGACTGAAGAAATGGCAATGTGCCAGGTCAAAAGCCATCTACCAAAAAGAGCTGTTCTGGATACCACGTGTCAGAATTTTATTCAAAAAAATTAAATTTTATTTCAACATTAGTTTTATTCTTTTAAAGTAAATTCCACTAACAGTGAATGCGAAAAACAAAGGGATGATAATCGGTTCCATTATAATTAAATCACAGACTGTAATGCGAGTTGTGAGCTATAGCAGAGGGAGTTTAGTTTGAAGCCCTCACTTATAAAATCTCCCTCCTGTCTGAGTCTGGGGCGTGCCGTGGGACCCAGAGTCAAGTCCTCGCCCACCCGCGCGTGCATCAAAATTGCGCCAGATTGAGACCCGGCCGGCCCCACCCCCAGCCCCAACGAGTGGGGGACGCAGACTCAGGCCCCCCAGCCCGGTGCCGGACAAGGGGTGTGGCCTCAGGTCCCCCCATCAATCCCCGCAGGGGCGGGGTCGCAGCCTCAGGTCCCCCAGCCCAGCCCAGCGCCACACAGCCTCAGGTCCCTGCTGATGGGTCGTTACAGCATCAGTGTGATGACACCATTTGCATATTAGCCTTTTATTATTATGATTTCTTTGGAATAGATAGCTTTAAATTAAAAAGAAACTGTCTCCTACAGAATGAAGAACACGGGTTGTCTAAGAGTGTAAAACTAATCTGAAGGAAGATGTCTATTTTGTATTTTTGTACATAAAATTTGAGAACAGTAACTCTTTTATTTATACAAGCACTTTAAAAAATTATAATTACATCACAGACTGTAATGCGAGTTGTGAGCTATAGCAGAGGGAGTTTAGTTTGAAGCCCTCACTTATAAAATCTCCCTCCTGTCTGAGTCTGGGGCGCGCAGTGGGACCCAGAGTCAAGTCCCCGCCCACTCGCGCGTGCATCAAAATTGTGCCAGACTGAGACCCGGCTGGCCCCACCTCCGTGAAGCCCCGCCGAGGGGGGAAAGCAGCCTCAGGTCCCCCAGCCCGGTGCCGGACAGGGGGCGTGGCCTCAGGTCCCCCCATCAATCCCCGCAGGGGCAGGGGTGTGGCCTCAGGTCCCCCCCATCAATCCCCGCAGGGGCGGGGGACGTGGCCTCAGGTCCCCCATCAATCCCCGCCCAGCCCAGCGCCACACAGCCTCAGGTCCCTGCTGATGGGTCGTTACAGCATCACGGTGTGATGACCATTTGCGTATTAGCCTTTTATTATTATGATTATGATGATTGCGGCTATTATAAAAGGGGCAAAAAGCATTTTTTCCTTTTGCTGAAAAGTTTTTACTGTCCAGGGGGCAAAAAAGAAGGGTGGCCAAGGAAGCCCTAGCACATCAACCCCCCAGAGACTCATTCCACGGCTGTCAGGAAGGGGCCGTCACTGAGCCGGCTGATCTGGTGATGAGTCCCATGGGGCATCTGCCCGTGCTCACTGTTACTCTTTTCATCTGCGGGACACATCTAAGAGGTGTTCTATTATTATCTTCCAGTTCATAAAGGAGCTAACAGAGACTGAAACTGGTTAAATAACTTGCCCCCAAACCTACAGCTTACAAGTCACTGTACGAACATTTACCCCCAGGTCTACGTGAGTTCAAATGCCCTGCTCTTTTGGAGAGAACACGCTGTTCAGAAAAATGCCTTTAAACCATCAGGCATCACCTGTCCAAGTTACCTCCCACTTGAAAAGGTGTTTCCACTCTCTCTCTTCCGCACCTGCCCTTCCCTGGGCCCTGCCCTCCTCCCTCTGTGACCCCTTTTCTCCTACAAAGAAGTCAGGGTACTTGTCACCTGATAACATATTTGAGGAGGGAGAGCGCCCCTCCCCACCATGTGTTTGCTCCTGGCTCTGAACACAGCGGAGGGATGGCTAGGGAAGAGGGGGATCCCCCGCAGGAGCCCGAGGTGGCATTTTATTTGTGGGCGCAGGATGCAGCGGGAGTGGTTCAGAGAGAAAGACAATAGGAAGGGGCAGCGGGGACCTGCGTCCTCTTGCTGCTGGTCTCACGCCCTGGAACGCCGACCAAGCCAATGGGAACACACGTGTTCAGTCACGAACGATGGAAAAGTGGTTCCCAAACTCGCACTGGTCTAGCTCCAGGTTTCTATTCTCTCGGTAACAGACAAAGGACAGGATGCTTTTGCTGCTGGCGAATGTGACAAAGTAGCCCAGTGGTCTGAACCATAAAAGGAAATGGGGGGGGGGCGTAAGTTATTACTGTTTATTTCATAAGAAAGAACTTTCTGTGAGTGAAGGAGTAAGAGGGGTGACTAACGCTATGTTCCACTCTAAAAGACGTTTTCACTTTAAGGTACACGTTTCAAATTCTGGCTTTTTAATGATCATAAACTTCACCATGTTGGTTTTAACAGGGGAGACTATTTGTGGATTTAAATTGAGTTTGAAATCACGACATGTTAATGTGAACTTCTCCTGATACATTTTTCTTTAGCGAATAGGTCACCATCATTTGGCAAAAGTACATCTCACAGCCAACACCCTTCCCATCAGCATTTCTCCATCTCGTCCGTCCTCAAAATCCTACCTCTAATTAAACCAACATCTCAAAAGTCTTCCAGAACAACTACTCTCTGCATACCCTCTGCATTCTTCCAATTTTAATTAAAAATACACCGTGGTCCCCCTGGGACATAGTGAACATACAAAATGAATGAGGCCTCACTAACAGAGTCCCGAGTCAGGCAAACATCAAAACGCATCATGAGGCGAGCTGTTCTGTGTTCT